GCGGCGGGCGCGCGGCTGCACGCGTTTGGCGGCGCGCCGCGGGGATTGCCGTCGCCGCTGTCGGGCGGCGCGCGCGCGGGGCCGCGGGCGCTGATGCTGCAGCAGTCGCTGCAAAGCATGCGCAGCGCGCACAGCGAGACGTCTGCAGCGTCGAGCGGCCTGGAGGACTACTCCCCTACGGCATGTGTCCGCGCAACAGACGGTGGGGTCGCGCAGGGGGCCGGCGGGGGCGACGGCAACTCGTTGTCACCTTTGGCAGCCGCGCATGCAGCAGTGGCGGCGGCGGCGGCGCCGCTCACAGAGCAGCAGCAGCAGCAGCAGCAGTGGCTGGGCCGCGGCCCGCGCATGTCTGATGGCAGCGGCGTGCAAGGGCAGTCGCCGCTCGCGGGCGCGGCGCCCGGCTCGGCGCGCGACGGGGGCGGCGCTTGGGACGCGCCCTCTCAGGCGCCCTCGCCGCAGAGGCAGCTGCCGGGAAGCTACGGCACCCTGCCGCCCATCGAGCCCACGGACTCGCCCGTCGTCCCCGGCTCTGGCCGGCGGCTCGGCGCCCGCGCGGCGCTGGCGACACGGCTCCGGGGCATCCTGCGCAGCAGCAGCCGCTACGTAAGCCGCGACAGCGACGGCGACGGCGACGGCGGCGGCGGCGACGAGGGGACAAACGAAGCGGAGGAGCCGCGGCGGCGCGTGGATGGCAGCGAAGGGACCAGGGAGCGGCTGCGGTGGGCGCTGCACCAGCGGTCGTTGGAGGGGGGTGGCGCTCGGCGGCAGGAGGAGGGGTCGCAGGGGCCGGCGGCGGCGGCGACGTATGTTGCGGGGCGGGAAGGGGGTGCGCTGGGGGTCACGCTGCTGCCGGCCGCGGGCGGCGTCGGACGGGCCGGCGCCGGGGGCTGGGGCGGCGGCGGGGGCGGGGGCGACGCCGGCGGCGGGGGCGCTGGAGCAGGCGCGAGGGGCTGGGCGGCCGTGAGGGCTGCGCTGGAGAGCGGGCGGCTGCTGCGGCTGCCATATGATGCCAACAACTACAGCATTGTCACCAGCACGTTCAAGTGAGCCCGCGGGGGCCCAGGGCTGGGGCTGCCGCGGTTGACGCTGCGCGGGAGCGAGGTCTGCGCTCGGGTGCCTGGCAGGATCGCAGGAGGGGTCTCTCGGCAGCCGCGCGTTGCCAGACGCCAGAGGGGCAGGGTGGTCAAAGCGAGCGGCGCCGTTTCAAAGCAGCCAGACGCCAGGAGAAGCGCCAGTCTGTGTGGAGGCGGCGGCCGGGCTGCATCCCGTGGTACAGCCACCTTCGTCTGCTCGAGAGCCGTGGGCGCGCACTCACACGCACACACACTCACACAAACACACACACACACACACACACACACACACGCGCGCGCACACGCGCGCGCACACACACACACACACACACACGCACTCCAGGCGCCTGTTCCCTCGCGACTTTGATGCGGCCATCCCCGTGATAAACCACAAGGAGGTGGACATGCTGCTCATGCAGGTGTGGGAGGGGGGTGGGTCAGGGGACGGAGCAGAGGGGGTGTACGGCGTGTGGGCTGCGGGCTGCTTTTTGGCAGGCCAATTGTCTGGAGTCGCCCTGTGTTGCTCAAATTGTGCTGGGGATGGCTTGCCGACCTGCTGGCGGCTGGAGCGGGCCGCGCGCAGCACGACGACCAGCCGCCTTTTTGCTGCACGGACGGCGCTTTACAGGCCCCGCGGCGGCGCACGCAGCCGCTCCCGGGCCTTTGCTTACAGCCTTCGACCCCCTCTCGGGCGGGCGTGTCCCCTTCAATCAAGACTTGAATCGGATTGCGGCTCTGCCTCTAACATTTGCGCGCCGCAGTGGGAGGCGGCAGTGGCTGGCCTGGAGCGCGCAGAAATGACACTGCTGCGCACGGGGGTCGAGCCCACCCAGCGCACGGCCTGCTGCAGCTGCGAGCGGGTGGAAACCATTCCGCTGCTGCAGGTGCGTGCTGGGGCGGGGGGGCTGGTGCGCTGCACAGCGGGGCCGTGCGAGTCGTTCATGTATTGTGTGTCGGCGCATCCCATGATTACTGCTCGCTTGCCTCTGGCTGATCTGTAGCGATTGAGACTCAACGGGCATGGGCTTGAGGCCGCAGGTCGTCTTTATTGCAGCGTCCGGCCGCGCGTGTAGTTATCCGTTTGGACCGATAGCCGGACCGCGCCCGCGGCGGCGCCCCACCATGCCTCAAAAAGCCCCACGCGCTTGACCACTTATGCACAAGCTCTCAACAGCTTTGTTTGTTACAACACACACAAGCATACTCGCGCGTTTGCTTGTACGTGTCAAGTGATGCGTGCCCACGCTCCAACACACACAACACTACGTGTTCAGCCCATTGCACTCACACACAGAGACACTTGCACACACACACACAGCTACACACGCACAGCTACACACACATACAGCTACACACACACACAGCCGCACGCACACACACATACACAAACACACACGCACTCTTGCGTGCGCACCATCCGCCAGGATGAGATCCTGGACCTGGAGCAGCGCATCGAGGAGGCGCGGCGCCGCGCGTGGGGCACCAGCTTCACGCCCTCCTGGTTTGTGTTCTTCAAGAGCCAGGCGGCCGCGACCATGGCGGCCAGCACGCAGATCTACGGCGAGGACACCGCCAGGTTCCAGGTGGGGGCTCGGATGGGGCGCCCCTCCTCGCGGCGGCGGGCACCTGGTGACGATGTGTTCCCCGCTCGAACCGACCGCATCAGTCACCGCACCCCACAGAGCAGCGGCCCCCGGGAAATGCGCCGCCCCTGAATTCCAAGCGACCCACCGCCGATTGCCTGTTGCCCTGCCGCTCGGCCGCACGGTTTTGCGCCGCCCCGCCGCTTGCCGCTGAGATTGCCGCCCCTCCTCCCCTCCACCTCCCTGCGCCGCCGGCCCAGGTGCACCCCGCCCCCGGCCCCGAGGAGGTCAACTGGCAGCACCTGTGGCTGACCTGGCGGCAGCGCGACCTGCGGAGCGTGCTGACGTGGCCGCTGACGGTCGCGGTGGTCATCTTCCCCATCACCCTGGTGACGAGCGCGGCGTCGCGGCTGCAGTTCCTGCTGTGCCCCACGGACACGCCCATCTCGAAGCTGGCGCAGGCGGTGAGGGCGCGGGCGGGCGGGGCTGATCGCCCCAGGGGCCGGGAAGTGGGGGAGTGGGGGTCTGGGACACACGCACGCGCGAGCACACACACACACACACACACACACACACACGCAAAAACCCTCACCCGCTGTCCCAGCTGGTGTGGCCTTGGTACTGCGGCAGCACCTCCGTGGTGGCCAACTTCATCCGCTCCCTCATCACCGGCTGGGTGCCAGCCCTGCTGCTCAACCTGTACCTCGTGCTGGTGCTGCCGCGCCTGGTGTACCTCCTGGTGCAGGTGGGGGTCGCCACCCGGCGGTCCCTGTGTTGCGTTGTTCCAGCTCTGCCTTGCTGGGGGCTCTCGCTTGTTGTTGGGGCGAGGAGGCTGCCTGGGCGGTGGTGGACTGCTGTGGTTGTTTGGGGGTTTGGGCGCGAGCTGGTGACCCCCCGGTTGGGGAGGTTGCTGGTGCGGGTGGGGGTGAAGGGGTGTTTTTGTCCCGCGGAAAGATGGGATGTCAGTATGAGGGGGGGTTGGACGTGGGGGCGCAGGTGGTGCAGTGGCCACGTGTCATCTGCTTGAGCAGGCGCAGTACATTGCAAAGGGGGCGTGTTACCAGATATTTGGGTGCAGGCGGCTGCACGCTGGCGCTGGTGTCTGCAAGAGACCTGGCCGCCCTGACCGCCCTCGTTCACCCCCAACAAACCCCTGCACCCCGCCCCTCACTCCCTACTCCTCACCCCAGAGCGAGGGCAGCTCCTTCAGCCTCAGCGCCCTGGAGCGCCGCATCGGGGTGGTCTTCTTTTACTGGGACGTCTTCAACGTATTCCTGCAGGTCAAAAAAGGGCACCCTGCCTCCCTGCCTGCCTGCCTACCTTGACCGCCCTGGCTGCCTGCCCGCCCGCCTGCCTGCCTGCCTTACCGCCTGCCCAACTGCCTGCCGAGTGGGCGCTCGTCCAAGCCTGAACCTTGCCGCGGCGCTGAAAGGGGAGGCCCGGCCGCCGCGTCCGCGTGCCGCCTGGACGCGGCACCCCGCCCCGCCGCCGTCCCCTCGTCTCTTCGCCGCGCGTTCGCCAATGCCCGTCCTGCCAGGCCCCGCGCCCCTCACCCCACGCACCCGCGCAGCCTGCCGCCCCGCGTCACCTTGGGCAATCTTGATCCCACGCCGCCCAACCCATCCTATCCAACACCCCAGAAACCATCCCCTGAGCGGACACAGACACACATCGTCACTCTGCGCATCCACACCCCTGCACACCCCTCCCTGACCAGCCATGCCCCCTCACCCATCCGTACCCACCACATTATCCACACCCATTCATCCCCCTTCGAACCCACCTGCCTGCACCGAAACCCACCCTTCCAGGGCATCATCGGCAGCGCCTTCTTCCAGCAGGTCAAGGCCATCATCTACGACCCCAAGAACCTCCCCATCATCCTGGGCGCGGCCCTGCCGGATTCCTCCAACTTCTTCATACAGTTCATATCCATGCGCGCCCTGTTCCTGGTCTGGCTGCGCATGTGCGTGCCGCACGGCGGCGTCTGGCAGAACTGGTGCCACTACCTCTGGTGCCCGCCGTGCTGCTGCTCCTTCTGCAACACGGGTGGGCGGCGCACGCGGCGCCTGCTGGTGCTGCCGCCGCTGCCGCCGCCGCCGCTGCTGCTGCTGCTGCTGCTGCTGCTGCTGCTGCTGCTGCTGCTGTTGCTGCTGCTGCTGTGCTTGGTCCGCGCAGAGCGTTGGGGGACTTTGGGGCTGCGGGAGGGAGGGGGAGAGGGTGCACTGGAGATGCTCGCCTTGCTGCCTGCATCCCAGGCGCTGCTTGCGCCGACGTACATGCGTCTGATTTTGCAACCTTCAACGCCCCGGGCCGGCCTCTGGGGACGCGGCGGACTTCTTGGCACACCTCGCCGTCCCCATGCACGCTTGCGCAAGCAAGTGCACACAAGCGCGCACACAATTGAGTACACATATCGACATACTGTACTCACGCATTTACGCACATACTCACAACACACTCTCAGACAAACGC